GGTTTTTTTTTCAATAAAGATGCCTTAAACTTCCCTGAAAGGATAACTCTAAACAAAAGGCTTATGAGGCCATTCCGGGTTACTTTCCGCGTATATCTCTATTCCAAAATATGGATTTCCTAATTTGGAGGACAGAGAAAACGGGACTCTCCAAACCCCACAGAATATCTACCCATGGATCATATGGTACATATGAAAAACTAGGAACGCTAAGCTCTTCAATGGGAAAGATACATCACCTTTAGATACTATTCAATTCGCAAGACTTGAAGAAGAGAGCTCGCGAACGGCAAACTTAGAGGAGAAAGACGAGGAGGAGGGAGGAAGCCCTCCCCAAACCGCAACAACCATTTCATCCGTGGATCCTCATCTTCCGGTATACCAAGTCGATGCTTCATGGGTGGATCATGGGTCCACTAGCGGTCTTGGATGGTGCTTTACCGATTCATCAGGACTAGTGCACATCAGCAGGCGAGGTTGCCGAAGGAGCCTATCGGCTCTACACGCAGAGCTGGACGGCCTTATATGGCAATTGAATGCCTCAAGCAAAGTCGCATTATCTCGATCCAATTTGAGACCGATTGCTCGGATCTACTAAAGATGCTTGACGATCCGATGGATTGGCTAGCGTTCCAGACAGAGTTGGACTATTTTTCTGAGATTAGAGATTGCTTTGTGATCTTTCAACTATCTTCTATTCTACGCTCTTTTAATGTCCATGCCGACGCCCTTGCAAAAGAGACACGTGCACGTGGCTATATCTTTTTCCATGTAGATTTCAACGAGTCGGTCGAAGTAACTCCACTTGACACTTCATTTACCGACCAACTTTGATTTAATGTATGGCGTTTGTTGAAAAAAAAAAAAACAAAAGGCTAATGAGGATGTCTGAACTAGGAATTGCTTTGTGATCATGGGCCTTTAATGCGAACAATCTATCTGTCAATCCGACCGTGTACCTTGTCATCTACATAAAACACTTACTAACTTATATTTTACTACCACTAAACTGAATGTGAGAGACGAAACTAATGCGATTCTTAAAATAACCTTGCC